CTCGCCTTCCTGCTGCTGCTGCTGGCGCTGCGCCTCAGGCGCTGGCGCCGCTCGCAGCAGCAGCAGCAGCTGCTGGCCACGGCCGGCGCCGCCTTGCGGGGCGTGCCTGCCACGCACTTCGTGGGCATCGACGGCGTCCGCGCCTTCCTGCACTCCTACTCGCACGACGTGTCTCTCACGGCCGACTCGCGCAAGAGCCACCTGCGCTTCTCGGCCGCCAGCTGCTGCGACACCCTCCCGGCCCGCCCGCCACCCGACGAGCCCGCGCCACTGCTCGGAGAGGAGGAACCTGCCGGTGACCGTCCCACCGACCCGGCCCCTCCCCCGGTGAGTTCCTCATGCCGGACTGTGTCTGCGATGCTTCCTTCTGCTGCTCCCCTGTCCTTTCTGCCTCGGGGTCTGTGTCCTGAGTGGGGTAAATTTTAACAAGAAAGGCAAAGCCTTGTTCAGTGACGTGCTCTGGGCTGGTGCCACTTGCTGTGGTGAGATGGACGTGGTGTTTGTTTCCAGTCTTGTGGTTGGTGGGCGTTGCAGGACAAATGCGGTTCTTCTTGTTGGAGCTTTAGTCTATCCTTCTTTCTGTTTTTATCAGGTCGTATCTCGTTTTGTCCTCGACATTCTTCATTCCACTTTTCCTGTCACTATTAGGTCTGCTGAAGTGCTATATTACCTTTTAAGGAAATGCAGTTTTGCGTTGTTAGCAGTGTTAGGTGTGTTTCCGATAGCACATGTCCCTGAGTAGGGTGAGAAAGGGAACATTTCTGTCACTGTGTCTAAACTTCTGTATCGGGATAATATTTTCACCTTTTCAATGCCATGTTATTGTATTTCATTGAAGTTTTTTGGGGGGGTTTTGAGTTTTGGGGATTTTTTTGTTGTTTATTTGGTTGGTTTGGTTTGTTCGTTTTTTTCTCTCCACACATCATTATCTGCTCGAGGGCATACTCCCGCCTGATCTTATACTGTATATTATTTATTATCGTTGAAGATCGAGTATGAACTATGCAGTAGTCTGGGTTTTGAACAGTAACACTTTTCTCAAATTCGTCTTTGTTTCGCTTTATAACTTTCCCCGTATTACAAACCCTTTTCCTTTAATAGTATTTAGGATGAATGTAAGCCATTGTTGGAAATGAACCTGGAGCCGCCTTTGCCTCCTTGGTGTCGGGTCTTTTACATTTTTCCTGTGTGAAAGTTCCTCATACAGCCTCTTCCTCAGCCAGTAGTGACAGCAGTGGCAGTTTTTTGTAGCAGAATGAACTGTGTGATTTCCGCATTGGAAACCACGCCCTTCCTCAACCAGGAGACCATTCCCAGGTGTTCTTGCGAGATCAGTTGAGGGAATTTCTTTGGTTGGGTCATAAGCGAGCTCCACACTCAGGATTAAAAAGAGATGGTGGAAGAGGAGTGAAATTGCTTGTTGCTAAGTGTTCATTTCAAAATACTTGTGTACGTACTCGTTTGTCACCTTGACAGTGAGCCATTTCTGTGCTCTTCCAAAGGTGGAGTCCAAGAACTGAATCTTCCCAGACTGAATTCTGCTTGGTGACTATAAGACTCTTTTTAGGCCTTCAGACTAAGGGTGCCGTGCAAGAAGGTAGAGTCTTATTGTTGTGGTTTCTGCTGAGGTGTGTAACAGATGACACAGCCCTGCAAGAAATGTCAAGATACACTTGCTGATAAGGGTTTTTCACTTGTGCTCTTTATGTCACTTTAAATCTCATTTGGTATCGTTCTCTCTCGTGTAGCAGCTCTCATTCTTTAGAAGCCAAGCGTTTAAAACCAGTGCAAACTGCGTATGAAGAAGAGAGTAGCAAACATTCTTAATGGCGTTAGTGGTTAGAAAGGCTGTTTTCTCCTTTTGTGCTCCTTATCAGTCGGTGAGCACATCCACAGTCTTGGATGGATTTAGTGAGAATGACCTTGTATACGAGAAGCTCCTTCTGCCAAACAAAGATTAATTCCCGAGGGAATTCCCGAGTCCTGTGGGCACTTTTCGTCTGATTTACTCTTCACTGTTGTGTCTTTTTCAGAGATGTGGTTACAGGTTTAGAGAGATGTAGTTATAGGTAGTGCTGTAGCCGAGGCTTTAGTGACAGTATGTTCTAATGTGCCTAATGCCTATAAAATGTTCATTTCTTGCTTACAGAATTATTCACACGATTGAACTCTTAGACATACACGGGTGTTTTATTCATGGACGGCTTAGCTGAAGTTTTTTAAAAAACCTAAAAATTCTTTGTTTTATTTATCACTGTTGTCTCACAATACAGAGTTTTCATCTAATGTTAATTATTTGAAATGCATGAAAGTGGTGTCTAAGTGATGCAATGCAACAAACGCTGACAAAATGCGAGTTTCTGCAGAAATACCTTCTCAGTACGGAGAGGTGTTCCTCTTGTTTGTGTCTCTCTAGCTGAAATAAGAGTGTGGCTACTTCTTGTTGGGAGGAAGAGCCTGCTCTCACACCGACGTTGTGGCCGAGTTATCTTTTGCTAATAGCTGCTACAGCATAAGGAGCTTTTGAAAAAGAAACTGAGTCCTGTAGTCTGTATCTTTGTTCCTTTCGAGGCAGCGGCAAAGGCGGCATAACTGGGAACTGAGTTGTCACCAGGACGCTGTGAGTGAGTCCAGTGGTTATCCATGGAACTATCTCTTGAGCAATAGGCGTGTTGGGAAAACCTGCCGTACCCGTAGTTTTTCAGCTCCTGGTCTGTGTAGCGCTTGAAATGATTCAGGTGGTCATAACGTGCCCTGCTCTGTCCACAGTCAACGAATTAAGAGTTATTGATTTGCGTGGAGTCTCGTATTCCAAGATTTGCTCTGATTGTTGCTGAGAGATGGGGTCAGTACAAGCAGGCACCGAGGAGGATCAAGTACTTTTTCATAGGCGTTGCTCTCAAGTGTTTTATCATTTCTATTTTCAGAGCATCCCATACTGGGAGGATTCAGTGTTTTACTAATGCAAATTACACGTCAGCGCATTTGTGCTGCGGGTAATCCGCCTTCTCTAGTTTTGCCCTTCTGAAATTCCTTCTTGCCACTTTTTTTGTCATCTTTTTTTTCTTTGGAGTTTCTGTGCTGGAAAGGGTAGCTGACAAGTCATGTATGCCTCAGCCACCACCACAGAGGAGTAATAAGTCTCCTCGACAATTCTCGGAGTAGCACACTGGTATCCTGGGTGCATGGATACCTTTTTGCTGTCCGTCCGTGGTTAGATCTTCTTACTTACCCCATTCACTGAAAAACCTTTCTGAAGAAATGTTTTAGCAGGTCATTTTACCGAATTCTAGAGCAGTAAATTGTGGTAATCCCCTTGATTCGTAGAAGTGGGAGCATGTACTGATAATGCTGTTCTGAAGAATAAGACCTGTCGTTTTCCCACCATCTCAGTCACTCTGAGAGGGATATAAAATAAACTGAATACAAATGAGAATCTCCTGAAAGAAAATACTAGTTCTGGTGCTTCCCTTCTACAACGGCTTCTCTTCTGAAGAATTTTGTAGATGTTGCTTCACAGGGATGATAGAAATGAAATAAAAGAGCTGGGTAAAGACAGCCAAACGAATAATAGAAAGGATTGGAATCTGAAAGGCATTTGCTGTACAGTGGACCTGCCTCTACTTACCTGTACTCATCTGTCCTCCCCTCTCCGAATTCTATGTGATGCTCCACTGCTTGGTAATGTGTTCCCTAGCCAGACTCCGAATATTCACTTCTGAACAGAGCTGTTCGTTTCCACATTCCGCGGGGTATAGGAAAACTCGTCAAACTGAACAACGAATCCCTCTTCTGGGTAACCGATGGCGGCGACTCCCGGGAGGTGCCTGCGCGGTCCCGGGCGAGACCCCCGCGGGCGCGGCCCAAAGGCGGCTGCAGTGCTGTGGTGGCGCCTCCGGGTGTCGCTGTTGGCCGCCGCCGAGCGGCGCTGGAGCCGCAGCCGCCGCCGCCGCAGCGTCCTGCCCCCGCAGGCTGCTCGCTCGCCCGGCCAGTGGCGGCCAGAGCGGCAGCGGCACGGGCAGCAGAGGCGAGAGGCGGCCAGAGCGGGCAGCGGCGGCGTCCGAGGAGGTGGCGGCGGCGGCGGCGGCCCCTGCGCTCGCTGCTTGGAGCGGCTGCAAGGCAGGCAGGGCAGCGACAGGAGCCGTCCGAGCGCCGAGAGCCGGCGCTGGCGACAATGGCGGGCGGGCGGAGGCAGAGGCGCGGGCCGGCCGGCGGGCGAGCGCTGCTGCTGCCCGCTGTGCTGCTGTGCCTGTGCTGCCGGGCGGCGCCGGAGCGGCTCCGCTACGCCATCGCCGAGGAGCTGCCCACAGGCTCGCTCGTGGGG